AGAAGCGCGACGACTTCAAACTGCTCGCCGGGCAAGAGAGAGAGGAGTGCCGAAAGTGAAACCCGTTGAAGTTCTGAGCGGTGGACGCTGTGAATGAAGCCGCTGCGTCGCGAATTTCCATTGCCGTGAGCGTTGGCAAAAGTTCCCCCTCTGGCCTGAGCGGCCGGGGCGTGGCGGCCGAGACCTGCCGCAGCTCAGCCAAGCGCGAGGCTTCCACCTCGAGGAGCGCAGATGGCCGCCCAGTCCACTGCCCCTCTAGTTTCACGCGCGCGGGCTGCCAGGCTCGGGCGCCCTTCGTCCACTTCTGCGCCCACCCTACAGATTTGGCGCTTACCTGTTTTACCCACGCTCTCCAAGCTTCGGTGCGACCTGCTTCATCAGCCCAGAGTTTACTGTCGAGTTTTTGTTCCCAAGACAGTGGACGAGTTGGTTCTAGCATCTGGAGGGTATGCTCTAGCTTCGCATTCTGAGGCGTGCCGCTGGGGGCAATCTGCTGGCCAGATTCTAAGCCCTGGTCAGTCGCAGCCGAAACAGGCTGGGGGGGAGGACGAAAAGCCGCCGGCGGGCAGCTGAGAGCGAGCATTGCCTTATCCGGGGCTTCTCTCGTGATGAGCGCTCTCTGTAGACTTGCCGGCGCCCGGTTTTTTTTTCACTTCAAGGGTGCGGCCTTCGATGTCCAAGATTCGAAGTGGGCCTGGGCCTGAGGCGGCACCCATCGCATTGCGGGGCCTTCCCTATCTTGCTCAGCGCCTGCCCTAATAAAAACTCAAAGCTGGCGTAGAAAAATGCCAGGTAGTCTTTGTTTCACGCAGTGGCAGAGGGATGACTGGCAGGACGAGGCCCAAAAGGAGCTGAGGGTGGGCATTTGGTTGGGAGCCGAAGTCCAGAAACGAGCACGCCATGGTCCAAATCAACAGCCATGCCGACCGGTCGGCGGCCAGCAAGCAAAAGGGAGCAGTTTGGGGGCCTCTTGGGAGCCTCTCGGGGGCCTCTGGGAGGCCGTTTGGGGGGCCTCTTGGGGCCTCTGTTGCCCCTCTTGGGGGCCCGTTGGGGCGGCTTGGGGGCCTGTTGGGGGTTTCCTGTGGCCTCGTGGGGGCCTCTTGGGGCCTCCTTGGGCTTTTCGGGGCGGAAAGCAAGATTTCCGATTCGTGTTCCCAGTCTTGGCTCCCTCTTGGGGCAGTTTTGGGCGCCTCTTGGGCCGTCTTGGGGCCTTCTTGGGCCGTCTTGAGGCGTCTTGGGCCGTCTGGGGGCGGTCTTGGGAGCCTCGTGGGCCGTCTTGGAGCGTCGGGAAGCCGAAAGGGCGAGAACGCCAAAAATGCTCAAAACACAAAGGGAAATCAATGATTTGGGCCTCTTCGGGCCTTCTTGGGAGGACGCTTCAAGGCCTCTTGGGGCGTCTCGGAGGCCTCTTGGGCCGTCTTCGGGCCATCCTGGGAGTCGGGGCGATCTTTCGGCGAGTCGGGGCCCTCTTAAGCTGTCTTGGGGGCCTCTCGGGGCCCTCTTGGCTCGTTTTGGGGCCCTCGGGGGTCCGCAAAAATCACGCGACAAGATGCGACAGGGCCCAGGGGGCATGCCCGAACCCCCAGGGGAACCGCGGCAAGCCCCTGGAGATCTGAAAGTTTAGGGCTTGGGCCCTGTAAAGAGTCCTCAGGACTGGGGACTGAGGCTCCAGGGAGTAGGCAAAGGGCCTGAAGACACGTCCACTCTGTGCCCAGAGGCACCGTGCCCTTGTGGCACGAAGTGGAGTGTCCTCAGGTCGTTTGCCTAACCCCCGAGCCCCAGTCCTCAGTCCTGGCGAATATGTAAGGGGCCCCGACCCCACTTCTCCCAGTGCATCTCATCGGATTGGCGGAGCGCCCCTCCGCTAATTGGCCTCAAAGCATGCGCGCCGACTCCCAGGATGCTCCGCGTCGGATTAGCGGAGCGCCGCTCCGCTATTGGCCTCAAAGCATGCGCGCCGATTCCAGGAGTGCATCGCGCCTGATTAACGGAGCGCCGCTCCGCTAATTGGCTTCAAAGCGTGCGATTGGCGGAGTGCTCCTCGTCGGATTAGCGGAGCGCCGCTTTGCTAGTTGGCCTCGAAGCATGCACGCCGATTTCCGGAGTGTTCCGAGTCGGATTAGAGAGGAGCGCGCCCCGCGAATCCGCTTCAAAGCATACGATTCGCGGAGTGCCCCGCGCTAGATTAGCGGAGCGCCGCTGCGCTAATAGGCTTCAAAGCATTCGCGCCGAACCAGCCATTCCGGGAGTGCTCCGTCAAAGCATGCGCGTCGACATGGCTTGCGTCACGCCTGCCTCCCAGAGTCCCCCGAGAAGCTCTCCGCGACATCCCAGACACCCCAAGAGAGCCCTAAGAGCCTTCCTGAGAGGGCCCCGAGAAGCCAAGATCATTGATTTCCCATCCGCTGCTCAATGATTTGGGGTCCTCGACTTTTCGAGCTCCCGACTCTCCCAGACGGCCCAAGAGGGGGCCCTGGGCCTCTATGGCCGTTGTGGGGTGGTCTTGGGGGCCTGTGGCCCTCTTGGGAGGCCTCTTGGAGGTCTCTTGGGGCGTCTTGGGGCCATCTTGAGGCCATCTTGGGTGTCTTGGGCCGATCTTTGGGTGTCTCTGGGCCCTCTTCGGCAGTCTTGGGGTCCGCCTGGGGGCCCTTTTGGCCCGTCTTGGGGCCTTGTTGGGCCGGAAAATTTCAGACGCCTACGCGTGGGAGCCCAGGGGAACCGCGAGAAGCCCCGACAAATTTGATGAAATTTGGGTCCGGGCCCTTTGAGAGACCCTTCAGGAGTGAGGGCTGAGGCTGATGGGCTGAAGCTTGAGCGATTCGGCAAAGGACCAGAGGACACGCCCACTCCGTGCCAAGAGGCACGGTGGTGTATATACATGTTTATATCATATGTGTATCTACATATATACATTTGTCATGTGTACACATTCGTACTTACATACATAGTCACCTACGTACATACATACACACATATGTATACATACATATGTGTATATATATGCACAAACACATACACAGCACCATACATGCACACATACCTGTACACATACATGCACACATGCATGCACAGATGCACACATCCATACATGCATACACGTACATACATGCCTACGTACATACGTACATGCATGCATGCCTGCATACATGCATGCATGCGCACATACATGCATGCACACCTTCATACGTACATGCATGCATACATGCATACGTGCGTGCACATACGCATACGCACATACATACATACACACACTTGCCTACATGCATGCATGCATACATCCGTACAGTCATACATACATATATACAGACATACATACATACATACATACGTACATACGTGCATACATACATGCACGCATGCATGCATGCATGCATGCACACATACAGACATATATATATATACATATATATATATATATATACATACGTACACACATACATGCATGCATGCATGCATGCATGCATGCATACATACATACATACATACATGCATGCATACATACATACATACATACATAAATACATACGTATGCCTGTTTGCAAACATACACACATGTACGCATGCATGTGTACATACATTCGTACATCCGTATGGGCATACATAACATCATACACATATACATATCTATATATGTATATATATACGCATGCATGTAGACACGCATGCATGCATGTATGCATGCATGCATACATACACGCACGCACATGTGCATATATTTGCATACATATATATGTCAAGAGAGAGAGAGATAACACATACATAAAGAAAGAGAGACACAAACAAACAAACTGAGAGAGAGAGAGAGAGAGAGAGAGAGAGAGAGATCGAATGACCCTCGACCCATCCCGCCACCGTGCTTGGGTTGTGGGCCATAGGCCTCTAGGATGGTCGTTGGGGCATCGTGGGGGGAGGGGGCTCTTGGGGGCTCTTTGGAGGCTTCTTAGGAGCCGTTTTGGCGCCTCTTCGGGCGTCTAGAGGGCCTCTTCGGGGTCTCTTGGGGCCTCTTGGGGGCCTCCTTGGCGCCCTCTTGGAGCCTCCTGAGGGCTTCTTGGGGCGAAAGATTCAGATTTTCTGTTCGTTTGTGTTCCCCCTCTTGGACCCTTCGTGGGGCTGTCGTTGGGCCTCCTTGGGCCGTCCTGGGCGCTGGGCGCCTCTGGGGCAGTCTTGGAGTCCTCTTGGGCAGTCTGGGGGCCCTCTTGGGGCGGTCGTGGGCCTCCTGGGCCGTCTTGAAGCGCTGGAAGCTAGAAAAGTCGTGGACCCTAAACACATTGAAAACCCAAGGGGGAATATATGATTTCGGCCTCTCGGGGCTCTTGGGGGAAGGCTCTCGGGGCTCTCCGGGGGCGCCTCGAAGGCTCCTTGGGCGTCTTGGGCCGATCGTGCGGCGACTCGGGGTCCTCTTTGACCGTTGGGCGGCCTCTTGGGGGCCCTCTGGGGCCCGTCTTGGGGCCCCTCTTGAGCCCGAGAAAGTCAAGCGGGATGACGCCCCGTGCCCCAGGGGCCACGCGTGAAGCCCCCCAGGCGACACGGCCGATTGGGCAACCCAGTACAAAGAATCCTCCGGATAGAGGGCTGAGGCTCCAGGGGATCCAACAGGGCATTTGAGGACATTCCAATTCGTGCCTCGAGGGCAAGGTGGCAGAGGTCACGCGTATTCACACGACGCATACCGCTGAAACCAGCGTTACGGCCTAGCCCAAGGTCACGTTGCATCCCTCGGCCCTGCCAATCTTGAGCGCAGTTTCGGCATCCCCTGCCCAGGGGCACCCTTCCGAAGCGGCGCGCTCCATGGTCCCTGCATCCTCGAATTCAATCCTCATGATTGGTTTACCTCCTCCAACTCAACCCTGGCAAACTCAGTCCTCATCCTCGAACTCGATCCTCAATCCTGGGCTGTATCTCCGCCCAGTCCCTTGCGACGACGACGACGACGACGACAACGACAACGACGACGACGACGACGACGACGACGACGACGACGACGACGACGACTCCAGCAGGACGACGGCGACACGTACCTCTACAAGGACGGAGAGGCCCGCCCCCCCTCCCCTCCGCGCCACGCCCGCGGAGACGAGCACGCCCCGTGCTCGGAAACCCCGCCCGCGCTCGGCCTCAGAGCGGCGATTGCGGTTGCGAGCGCAGCCAACGTGCACGGCAAGCGCATGACAAGGACGAGTAACATCCTTAAGGTGCCAGTTCCCCTCGGGTCATGAAAAAGCATGGCGGACGGTTGTTCTCTGTGTTGTCCCTCTCGAGACCCTTACCGGGCGTCGAGACCATCAACAAACTATCCAAAATGAAAAGAAGGTCCTGGGGCATGTGTCGAGACCTCTGGGGGTCCACGTTAGGCCAAACATTACACGTCGGGGGTATGGGGTTACAGTAGGCACGTCAAGTAAGAAGTCAGCCGAACAACGGGTGCGCCACGCAAACGTCTTGTCTCCCCATGGCCCCAGGGACCCGCCGAAGCTTTGAGGCACCTCGTGAGGCCCAAATCTCGACGAAGAACCAGCCCTAAGATTCGCTATAGGAAGATTTCGTATCACCTCTGCCTACTGCTTCCTTGTAAGAGTGCCTCTTCGGCCCATCCTTAGCTGATCCTCAGCTCAAAAAACGTATCCTTGTCACGCAGTCCGACCGTACACTTAGATTATACGGTCAAACATCCCTGAGTTTCCGCCGACCTCAACTGCGGCGGTGACTGCCGCAACCGACTGGAGGTCGGAGGCAGCGCAGGGGCGACGGGCCAGGCTGGCCGAGGAGGGGGCGCACTGGATACTGGTGCCCTCCTCCACGCCGCCGTCGTAAGACCACGACGGCCAGTTGTTCAAGTTTGGACCGGTGAACGCCCGTCCTGGGACCCCGGAACGTCAAGCGTCTGCCCGACGGGGTCGAGAGCCCCTCGTGCTCGCGCCGTGGGCAGAAGCCACCTCGGAGGACTCGGTACGGCAACTGACTGTTTGGATGTGACCCCAGAGCCTGTTTCGATCTCTGCTCTCTGCCGCTCGAGTCGCGTGAGGACATGTATGCTGTTGCTGTGGCTGCTGATGTGATTCTCCTTAGCTTTGACAATGTGCGAGTGGGAACGAGTGTTTCTCAACGGATCGGGAGACAGTACCTCCAAGGCCGTATGCGTCTGATTGCGAAGCAGTCGGCGGAAGTACAGGCTCTCGGCGCGCCTCAGGGGGCGGGTCTCATCTTCCTCCTCTTCCTCCTCCTCCTCCTTCTCCTCCTCCTCCTCCTTCTCCTCCTCTTCCTCCTCCTCCTCCCCCTCCTCCTCCTCCTCCTCCTCCTCCTCCTCCTCCCCCTCCTCCTCCTCTGTTTATCAGCGCGCGCTTGAATTTAAAGATATCTCTCGTGCTGCCGCACGGCGCGTTATGGATACAGCCTACCAGCGTGAAGCCGCCTCCCCCGCTGAAAAGGTCTCGTGGGCTCTCGCGGTCGTCAGGGGCATGGCCACTGGTAACATCCCCAAAATTGTGCTTGCACTCCGTGTCTTCCCTACACTCGTCAAATTCGTGAACACGACTGACTAGTTACACCTGGCTCGGCGAAGTTGGCTTCCACGTTCTCCTCGGCTCCATCTCCACGGCTCTCATCGATGCTGACACTGCTGAGATCGATCAAGGCTCGCTTCCTCCCGCACATAAGCTCGCCAAGAAACAAAACATGATGCAGTATTACTCGGTGTGGAGCACCAACATCCGCCAGATCCCCTTGACGGGCATCCTGGACAGCTCGGGCCGGTGCGAAACGGATCCGAATGTTGCCGCTGAGAGGCTTGCCAAGCACTGGGAGTCCGTCCATGCGCCTGTCGCTGTCGATGAGGCCGCCGTGGAGCGGATCAAGCCGTTCATTCAGCCAGTGCATAGGGTCGTGTTCTGGAAGCTCGAGCAGCCCGAATTTGAAGAATGCTACGCCGACTGCATGACACAGGTGCTGGCCCAGATGGGCTGCCATACTCTGCTTGGACTCGTGCGGGTCCATCGGCAATCCAGATGCTTTACGAGCTTTACGCCGACGTCGTCAATTTCGGAAAGCCCCCTGATGGCTTCAATCACTCCCTGGGCGTCTTCCTCCCCAAAGGTACCCGTGAAACCGACGACGAACGTGTCCAGCGTCTCCCCGAGGACACCCGCCCCCTATGCCTCAGCAGTACTGACAACAAAATCATTGCCCTCGCCATCAATCGCCCCGTCAGTCGTATATGTCAAGAAGTATGTCACGAGCGCCAGCGTGGCTTTATCGCTGGACGCGATATGCTTTCCAATATTCTCGAGTTGGAAACTCGAGCTGTCTCTTGGTGGTGCCAGCTAGGTGCAGACAAGACGGGATACACCTTTTTCGACATTCGCGACGCGTTCCCGTGAGTGCTGCACGTATTCATTTTCATCATTTTGAAGACCATGGGTTTTCCCGAAGATTTGTTGCACGCGATCGCTGAGCTCTACCGAGACATCAAAGTGCAAATCTTACTTTGCGGCCCGCGACAAGCTTTTTTCCGAGTTCTCCGTGGGGTGAAACAGGGCTGTCCTCTGAGTGGTTCGATCTCCTGTCTCGTTTTCGACCCGCTTATCCGTATGATTGTGTCAAGGTTGCCCAGGGATGAAGCTTGTCTCGCGGTGTTTGCAGATGATACTGGCCTCGTCGCACAGGACATCTACCCCTGTCTCTTCCTCGTTCTCCAAGTCTTTCGGCTTGCTGCGCGTGCTGCTGGCCTATGTTTAAGCGTCAAGAAGACGAAAGTTGTGCCCTTTAAGTTTCCGAACAAAGAATACGTGCTCGCCTGCATGAGAGAAGCAGGCATCTTGAGCAAGCAAAGCAGTTCGAGATCTGCGTACGGGTTGTTTATCTCGGCCTTGTTCTTGGACCTGGGGGCCACGAAATCTCCTGGATTGCTCCTGCTCGGAAACTTCGGGAACGCGCCTGGCTTATTCGCTCCCTGGACCTCGGGCTGGTCAAAGCGGTGGGGAAGTACAACTTGAGGGCCTTCCCTGTCCTGGAGCACGTGATGCAGCTCCTCCCGCCTTCTCAAGAAGCCTTCGCTGCCGAATGAGAAGCCCTGCAGACCATGGCGAGAGGGCCCCGCAACGCGTTCACCGACCAGATGATGATGTCTCTCACCGACCTAGGCTTTGCGATTCAAGCTCGAGGCCTGTACTCTGCAAGTGCCGCTGCGATGTACCGAGTGGCGCTTACCTCGAGTGCCTTCCACACCTGTTGCAATATGATGGAGGAGGGGGGTGGATGCAGAGAGCCGCTTCTGGCCATGCGCCCGCCTGAAATTTTCCACCGGTCCATGATGCAGCAGCTCAAGAGCAATTGGAAGCGCATCTCTGAGATCCCGCAGGACCCTCAATTCGGCGATAGGCAGCTGCAGCGTAAAACTGATCTTCTGTTGCAGCGCCAGGCGAGCAAATCTTGCCGCGCCACCCTCACTGCCAGAATCAGATTCTTCACGCCCTCGGCCAGCGAGGCCGACATTGATGCTCTGATATCGTGCTTGCGTCGCCTGTCCAAGCTTGCCCCTCCTTTCGTGCTCGCTTGCGTTGTCAAGACAGTCTGCAACGCATGGTGCACCTCTCGTCGCTTCCCTTGCCCTACTGCATCATGCCGTCTCTGTGGTTATGCCCTCGGAGGCGACGATATCATCCATATCCTCGAATGCACCTGTCTTTCTAGTCTTGTCCGCTTGCTGCCCGCCCTGCCTCCTCTGTTCTGCCGTGCCTCGGCCGTCGAGCGCTTGTCCATTTATCCACTCATCCCGCTCTCTGACTCGCAGCTGCTCGCCTGTGCCCTTTTCACTGATATTGTACACCACGTTTACCACACGATGAAAGCTCGTGGCACGCTTGGGGAGTGTGCCACATACAGGCATATCCGTGCGAGGTTGCGTAGTTCTGCGAGGCGAGACGGTCGCCTCCAAGGGGTGCAGCGTCGGCCTGGGTAGCCGCTGCAGACCATCGGACTCTCTCTTTCTTCTCTCTCGTTCTTGCTCTCGTCTCGCGCCTTGTCCGCTCTTCGTCTCTCTCTCTCTCTCTCTCTCTCTCTCTCTCTCTTGGGGGCCGTGTACTCCACCTCCTCCTCCTCCTCCTCCTCCTCCTCCTCCTCCTCCTCCTCCTCCTCCTCCTCCTCCTCCTCCTCCTCCTCCCTCCTCCCCCTCCTCCTCCTCCTCCTCCTCCTCTTCCTCCCTCCCTCCTCTGGAGACATCCCTGGGCAGCCAGAGACATCCAGGGACCTCGGGAGGATTCTGGCCACAGCCCTCCCCCAGGATAGGACCAGGCCCTCCCAGATTGTGCTGAACCCCTCGTGCAGTTAATTGCTCAAAGCTATCCCGGCCTGCCCCTCCTTCCCCGATGCAGAGACGAGGCCACCGCGGCCGCCGCTTCGGCTCAGCTGCCTCCACCTGGTTCTGCTAGAGGCGCACGGGCCCCAGAGCGCTGGCGAGAGCGCACTGCCCCCCCGCGCTGCCAGGCCAGGATTCGGTCAGGCTCGCCGGGGAAGCCTGAAGCTCGCCAGAAAGCGCTTTCTTGAGCATCTGCGCCTCCACGGGCGGCGCCAGGTGCGCAACACGCTGTTCAAGTGGGACAACGCCGCCGGCGAGCTCTCGTGGAAGGCTTCCGTGCGGAGCGCGATCCGCGCGCACTGCGCGAGGGAGCGCGGCACCGCGCCAGCTTGCCCGGACCCCCTCCTGCCCCTCGCTCTCGGTCCAAACTGCATATTTGGCCGGCGGGGGGGAGAGGGGGGAGAAAGAAAGAGAGAGGGAGAGAGAGACGGGGGGGGGGAAAGAGAAGGAGGAGGAGGAGGAGGAGGAGGAGGAAGAGGAAACAGCAGGAGGAGGAGGAGGAGGAGGAGAAGTTGAAGGAGGAGGAGGAGGCGGAGGCGGAGGAGGAGGAGGAGCCTCTGCTTGCCTTTCCCCTTGCGTACTTTAATTAAGGACCCAGACCGAAACCCAAACGCCTGGGTGTCCCCTTTGGTGACGGGGGTGGGGATCCATTTGGGGGTGGGGAGGCGGAGGAGGAGGAGGAGGAGGAGGAGGAGGAGGAGGAGGAGGAGGAGGAGGAGCAGAAGCAGGAGGACACGGAGGGGGTGGAGGAGGAGCAGGAGCAGGAGGAGGAGCTGGAGGAGGAGGAGGAGGAGCACGGCGAGAAGTAGGAGGAGGAAGGACGAGAAGGACGAGGAGGAGAGCGGAGAGAGGAGGAGGAGGAGGGAGGACGAGGAAGGGTAGAAGTAGGAGGAGGAAGGACGAGGAGGAAGGGAAGAGCAACGGTGACAGCATCTAACATGTTCTAAAATATCAGCTGTGCCCGACTGATACCATTCCCTCACACCCAGATATTTGGTAGAGTGTGACAATCTCTTGAACGTATAAGAATCGCAGCACTGTTCATGGAAGCGTTATGACATACATTTGATGGAACGTATGGGGAATAGCAAAATGCTGTTGCTGTGGAGCGTGCCAAACATCATGTCAGCATCGCCTGCACCCTGCAGCGCCGCCAGACAGGCGTCTGGCGGGTCACTGAATCGTTTTGAACGACAGCCTGGAGTCAGGGGGGCGAGCAAGAGGATGAGAAGGACAAGGAAAGAGGACAGCGAGGGAGGAAGCGGATGGGGTCGAAAGAAACAGGAAAGGAAGGAAGAGGCAGAGGAGAACGAGGAGGAGGGGCACGAGGGGGCGGGAGGAGGAGGAGGAGGAGGAGAACGACGAGGAAGAGGAGAAGAAAGAAGAGGAGCAGGATGAGGGAGGATGAGCAGCCCTGCCCGCCGCCAAGCGGGGTGCGCCGACTCCGACGTGCTTTCGGGTGCAACTCCCACTCTGCAGGGAGAAGTGCCCAGTCTGTCGAGTGCAACGCCCAATCCGTTGGGCGCAATGCCGGGTGCAATGCCCAGCCCGTCGGGTGCAATGCCGAGCTCGCGGGTGCAATGCGCAGCCTTTTTTGTGTGCAATGCCCGATCTTCCAGGTGCAATGCCCAACCGCGTGGGCGCATTGCCCAACATGTCGTGCGCAATGCCCGATATTTCAGGTGCGACGTCCTTCTTTTTGGTTGGGTGCAATGCCGAACCTGCTGGGTGCAACGCCCATGGCGTCGATTACAATGTCCGACTGTTCGGGTGCAGTGCCCATGGCGTGATCACCCTTTGGCAGATGTCAGATGTTGCATCACAGATGTATGTGCGCGCGTCCTCGGGGACAGCGCCAGTTGGCGATGTGTTTCGGGCTGCCCGCCCGCACCAACGCTGACGGGGGGAGCGGCGCATTGTTCAGCGGGCCCGAGCGTGATAAGATCCTCTCCTGGGTTTGTGTGCCTGGCCATTCTTCGCATTTAACTGATGGCACAGGCGCGCGTTAATCCTTGGCCCCGGAGAGCCACGCTGCCTAGAGCGGCAAGTGGAGGGACCCTCTTCGCTTCAACGCAGATCGCTGCAACGCTTACTAGAAGCAGTTGCAGGTGTCGCACTGCACGGTGCCCCACGACTCGGGGCAGCGGGCCGTCGCGGACCGCGCGCGCGTCGCGCGCCCGAACGGGCGCAACGAGACAGTTTTTGTAGAGAGGAAAACCCGAGGGGTCGCGACGACCTGCGGTTTGAGATGCCCGACGGCATCCCAGGCAGCGCTCTCACTTTCGATTTGGAGCGTTGCCGCGCGAATTTGCGGGCCCGGACGCGGCGCAGGCAGAGGTCAGGCGATGACCTGCTCCGAGAGTTTGGCTGAGCCGCCTGCGCAACCCGAGATGGCCTTCGTGAAGGAATCGCATCCAGAGGGCAGCCCGACCGAGCGCTGAGGGCGCCGGCTGCGGCCGCCCGCGCACAGTTTAGGCGGTTCCCCGCCCGCGTGAGAAAAGGGTCAAGCCGCCCAGGCGTACATCGTCGCTGCCTCGGGGGGGCAGAAAAGGAGGCCGAGGATGATGATGAGTACTTGGGTTGTGTACAGAGTGCGCGCGTGTGTATTCCAATGTGCACACCTATGATTGTGATGGTGAGCATTCTGAGGGTTACGAGGCCTGGCCTATTTCCGTCGCTGCCCACGGCCCGCCCAGAACCCCAAACGGGCACGCATGTGCCTTCTGCCCTTGTGATGAGCCGCTTCCTTTCCCCATCAGTACCCGCCCTTCCCCCTCATCCTTCATTCCCCTTTCCCCCTGCTGCACTCTCTCCTGCTTCTGATGATTCTTCAAGCCCTTCCTCGCACCCGCTGACGCCCAGGGCTTCCCAGCACCACTGGGAGTACTTTAGCCCGCTGAAGCTGTCTAGACTCCTTCTGCCCCTCATTCTCCTTCCCGCCCACCCCTGTTCGTTATCGTTTTCCTTCCGTTCCTCTTCCTCCTCGTCCACTTCATCCTTTTCAGCATCCGGCTCATCATTCTCATCATCAGCGTCATACTTAGCACCATCACCACGATCATGCTCATCATCGTCGCCATCGTCATCAGATTCCTCATCATCGTCACCATCGCCAACATAACCACCATCATCATCATCGGCATCAGCATCACCGTCACCAGTGTCATCAACACCGGTATGTTAACCATTATCAGTATCAGCATCTATATCGTCATCATCATCAGCGTCGCCACTACCACCATCACCACCGCTCTTGCCCATTCAAATGATCATCCCTGGGACGAACAGCGAGCGTCCCAGCAGGAGGCCCGGCTTCTAGTAGGACGAACCTTGCTCATGGTGTGGTTATGCGATCGGTGATGCCAATCGGGGCGGGTTATGTGATGGTGTGCGGTGCCATCGAGAAGAAGGTGAAGTACCGCGAAAGCGTTTTGCTGCACGATGTCTTGTTCGGCACCCATACGAAGAGTGCGCGGCTGAGGCTGGTCAACATCCCGCGGCTTGGCAATCTAGCCGACCCGCCCGCGGTGCAAGCGGTAGTGGCGCCGTGCAACCTGGGCCTAGTGCCGAAGCCTGCGCAGTGGGTCGTCCAGCCGCGCTATTCGCTCGAGGTGGAGGGTGGCGTCTACGCCCGCGGCGGCGACTACTAGAAGCACGGTTTCCAGCACGCTGGCTTTAACCTCGCAGCTCTTCGCGCGGATCGCGCGAGGCCGGCTCGTGAGAGGTCGGGGTGCGGGAGTTGGACGACGTCGTCGCCAGGCTGGACGTGCGGGCCCCGTGCAGCGCGGGCATGCTGCGCAGCATCCCGCTGCGCCGGCAGGACGACCGGGCCGTGGGACGGGAGGCCCCGCCGCGACCCAGGGGGTCACCACCCACCAACCCACCCCAACCCAACCCGAAGGCTCAGATTTACCCTCGATTTCCAGTTGGGGGGGGGTCGGGAAACATCGAAAAAACACGCGTGGAACCCTTACCCCCCCCAACCCGAAATTCGGGTCTTCGGGTTGGGTTGGGGTGGTCTGGTAGGTAGTCAGGGGGGGGGCCAGAGGATGCGTGCGACATGACGATTCTGGGCTTGGCCACGTCGCGCTCCCTCACCGTGGCGCCCGACAACATGAAGACCCGGGTGGCGGAGTCTCTCAGGAGGCCCATCTCGCACCACCACGGGCACGCCAGCACCAAGGTTGGCGCGTGTCCACGGGAAGATCTTGGCGAAGGAAGTGGCCGCGACGGGGGCCTCGGCGTCGGACGGCCTGGTGAAGATCCTCAAGAAAAGGTTGCGCCCCCTGAGTGTCCGCCATGCATGGCGCGCGCAGCTGTGCAGTGCGGTAACGCGTCATGTAAAGCGATAGACGAAGTGATCTCTCGCAGAATGACCTCACATGTGCCAGCCGCTTCTGCTGTGCCAGCCTCGCTCAGCCCTTTGTCCGCGCTGCGCCTCGCCCGTGATGCCCCAGTGCGACGATCCCGCTGGTTTCTCCTCGTCCGCCGTGTGGCACGAGGGGGCGCGAAGTTTCTTCTGCGGGGCCAGCGTTGGCACGTGTGCAGGATGGTCTGCGCCCCCTGCTCCGGCAGCGCGCAGCCTGGACGCCGCCGCGCGGCGTGCAGCTCGGAGCCGCGGCGCCGTGGAGGCCCCCCTCTTGCTCTTGCCGCTGCAGTCCGCGATTGTTCCAGCATCTGCGTTTTGTGCCTCCTCCTCCTCCTCCTCCTCCTCCTCCTCCTCCTCCTCCTCCTCCTCCTCCTCCTCCTCCTCCTCCTCCTCCTCCTCCTCCTCCTCCTCCTCCCCTCCTCCTCCCCCTCCTCATTCCCCGCCTCCTCCTCCTCCTCCTCCTCCTTCTCCTCCTCCTCCTCCTCCTCCTCCTCCTCATTCCCCGCCTCCTCCTCCTCCTCCTCCTCCTCCTCCTCCTCCTCCTGCCGTCCATTTCCTCACGACGCTTCGTCAAAGGGTTCTCCTGCTGGTACAAGGGGAGAACAGAAGAGTCCTACGCAGGGACGGGGAGCCCTGGACCGCCTCGTCCGGCAGCGGGTCTGGCAGCGGGTCCGGCAGCCAGTCTGGCAGCCGTTCCGCCTAAGACATCTCACAATGTGTCGAATGGCCTTCGGCCCATCCTACCATCGCGCCTGGGTTGTGAGCATGAAGCCAACTGGATGTTCGTTGGGATCTCGTGCCCCTTGGAGGCTTTTTGAGGCCCTATTGGAGCCGTTTTTGGGCCTATTGGGGGCCTCTTGGGGCCTCGCGGGGGCCTCTTGGGGGCCTCGCGGGGCATCCTGGGCGCCTCTTGGGACCTCCTGGGGGCCTCTTGGGGCGGAAGGCTCGGAGTTTCGGTTCGTGTTCTCTCTTTGGGACCCGTTTTGAGGACGTCTTGGAGCCCTCTTGTGCCGTTTGGGGCGACCCTCTTGAGCCGTCTTGGGGCTCTCTTGCGCGTTGTGTGGCCCTTTTGGAGGCCTCTTGGGCCGTCTTAGGGCGGTCTTGGGGGCCGCTAGGGCCGTCTGTGAGCGTCGGAAAGCCGAAAAGGCGAGAACGCCACAATTTTGCGTCCATCAAGGAAAATCAATGATTTGGGCGTCTTGGGCTCTCTTGGGAGGCCTCTTGGAGGCCTCTCTGGGCGTCTTGAAAGCCTCTTGGGCCGTCTGGGGGCAATCTTGAGCGTCTTGGAGCGATCGTTCGGCGACTCGAGGCCCTCTTGGACCGTCTTGGGGGCTTCTTGCGGCCCGTCCCTCCTGGCCCGTCTTGGGGACCTCTTGGGCCCGAGAAAATCATGCGACAACGCTTGGGGGCACGCGTCAAGCCCCGGAGATTTGAGAGCGAGGGGGCCGGGTCCCTTAAATGATCTTCGGGAGTGAGGAGTGGGGCTCGGACGGTTAGGCAAACGACCTGAGGGCACGCCCACTCCGTGCCCAGCGGCACGGTGGTGGATTCAGTAATCGCGCACGAGACTCGCCTCAATGCTGGCTACATATTTGGTGCGGACGGCCACGATCACGTAGAAACACCTAGGTGCCCGTGGCCGTGTTCTCTTGCTAGTAGGGTGCTTTGTTGCGGTAAGGTTTGCATCTGTGGAGGTGGTACAGCCTTCCATTTTCTTTTGCTGCGCGGCGCTGGGGTGTTCTCCTGGAGGTGTCTCGTCTTGGCCATCATCGATGTCTTTCTTCTGTGCGGCGATTGATCGCGATAATTTCGGCTGCCGATCTGTCGTGTGACCCAGGTTATCATCATAATCATCAGCATCATCATCATCATCATCATCATACTCATACTCATACTCATACCCATGCTCATACACATACTCATACACATACTCATCATCATCAGCATCAGCATCAGCATCAGCATCATCATCAGCAGCATAATCATACGCATACTCATACTCATATTCCGATTCCTACTCATACTCATACTCATCAGCATCACAATCAGCATCAGCATCATCAGCATCATCATTATGATTACCCTCAGCATCACCACCATAATGGGCATCAGTATCATCATCATCATCAAACTCATCATCATCATCATCATCATCATCATCATCACCATCATGCTCACACTCATCAATCATCATCCTCATCATCATCATACTCATACTCAGCATGTATCATCATCACCGTCATCATCACCATCATCAGTTCTTCAGATTCATCAGACTCATCATAGTCATCATCAGCATCAGCTGAATCATCATCTTCGTCATCTGCATCATCATTGTCATTATCAGCATCAGCAGAGGCATGATCATCATCCTCATCGTCATCGTCACCATCATCATCATCATCAGCAGCAGCATCATCATCAGCAGCACCACTACTGATATCATCTCCGCAATCACAGCATGACGAGAATGGGTAGCAGCATACGCGGCATCGTTGTCCGCATCAGCGTCATCATCGCATTCACCCTAATCACAGTCATCATCATCAGCAGCATCATCATCATCAGCATCAGCATCATCAGCAGCATCAGCATCATCAGCATCAGCATCAACACCATCAACATCCGCATCTGGACAACCCCATCATCACCATCTGGTCAACCCCATCAACACCATCGACATCACCACCATCAACGTCATTCTCAAAACCACCACAGACAACATCCGCATCATCGACGTCAGCATCAGCAGCAGCAGCATCAGCATCAGCACCATCATCACCATCATCGTCCTTTCTCCCCCCTCCACTCTCCCTTCTCCTCCCTCCCTTCCTCCCTCGGGACCTTGGCTGACTGGGCAGACCGTTTGTGGAGTCTCGGGAGCAGGAGGTGTTCACGGCCGGGGGCGTTGCCCCCCCTGCTGGCCCTCAAGGCCCGACGTCCACCCAGCCGCGTGCGGCTTCCCCTCCCCACCAGCTTGGGCTGAAGGCACCTGGACTCGGCACCCGGTTGCCTCTCTGCGTTCCCCCTCTCCTTTGCACGCTATGCTGGGCCAGAGCGTCCCAAACGACCTCCCAGAGTTCCCTCCTGCCCAGACATCCGGCGTCTCGGTGTTTGTCGAGACACGGCCCCCCAACCTTTCGACCACTTCCCCGGGACCCGTTTTTCATACCGAGTAGGTGTTTGAAGGCCCCGAGGCCCAGCAAGGGCCCCGAGAGGCTGCAAGCGATGAAAACCGTCGCTCGGCTACACTGAAGAGTGACCTTTCGCCAGAGTGACCTTCGGAGCGGGCATACTGGGGTCCCCAGATGATTGAATGCGGTGCGACAGCAGCGGCTTCCATGCTCGGGTTTTGCCCGTCCCGCGCTCCCAGAAAGTCGCCCACCAGAGGTCACCCTTGCTTGGGGTCACTCTTGCTTGTAGCCGATTCGTCCCGATCTGTTCGAGACGCCGGACGTCGGGTCGCACCCCCCTGCCGTAGGGGCAACGACACTGGGGGATAGTCTCAAAGGGGGCATCGTCGTTCCGCAATCGCCCAGTCATCGCCGATGAGGCTTCGATACGCAGGTCTACCCTGCCCAGGCGCGTGCAGACTCGCTATCGGGAGCCTATCGCCGATCTCTCGGCGACGCATCGCCGATTCCAGGTCGATGTTCCCCCCACCCATGAGCCCGTCCCCCCCGTCGTTGCCACTCATCCCTCCGCCCCGCGGCCGCCGCGGCTCGCAGCAGGGGTGATCTTTGCGCTCCCGCCCGGGTGGCCCGCCGAGTGGGCAGGCATCGCCTTCCAGGGCCCCAGGCGCCGCTTGGGGGGCGCGCCGCGCTCCCGCCGGCGGCCGCGGCCCTGGCCCCCTCGGCCGAGCGGGGGGAGGAGGACGTCATCGTCGTCACTCGTCGTCGTCACTCGTCGTCGTCACTGGTCGTCGTCACTCGTCGTCGTCACTCGTCGTCGTCGTCGTCGTCGTCGTCGTCACTCGTCGTCGTCGTCGTTACCCGCTGCTCGCACTGGAGGGTCCCCGTCGCCACGGCCAGCTCCTCCCCCGTCGCCACGGGTCCCCGTCGCCACGGTCAGAGTGCAATCCCCGCGAGAGGTCTTGGGGAGCAGCGGTATCGGTGCCTCTTCGTTTCCCAGGGGCCGCCTGCAGTGCAGTGTCACAGGGGGTCATTTGGAGGTCGGTCGTCCTCCCCCATTCCTCCTCCTCCTCCTCCTCCTCCTCCTCCACCCCCTCCACCTCCTCTGACTACTCCTTCCCCTCCTCCCTCCTTCTCCTCCTCCTCCTCCTCCGCCTCCTCCGCCTCCTCCTCCTTCTTCTCTTCCCCCTCCTCCCCTGGGAGGTTGGAGGCTGTCTGACTTCATGGAGCCATGCGCAGAGCCCTGCTGGCAGAAGCCTCGCCGCCAGCCCCTTGTTGATCGACGGGCGGGTCGATCTTGACAACAACCCCGAAAGAATATGACCGATGAGGCCCGCCCTTCGCGGAGGCGCGGGGGAGGAGGGCAAGGCCCATTTCGATCGGGTTCGGTCCTGCTGTTCTGACGGTCTGGTGCGGCCCGGTGCTCGCACGGCGCTGTAGTGCATCGCGGCGCGGCCAGTCCGATCCGATGGCGACTCCGAAGCGGCGTTGCCCGATCCGATGCTTGCTCCGATTCGGTGTGGGTTCCCGATTCGGTGCTGGCTTTCCCTTGGGGGCGGGATGTGGGTGGAGCGCGGACCCCAGATTGGGGTCTCCATCCCGCGCGCGGTAGGCGGGGAGTTGTCGGGCTACCCCAGAGCGAGACGCAAGGAGGGGGTAGGGGGCGTCAGGGGCAACGATAGGGGGGTATAGGCTCAGGAGGGGATGCATCGATCCCCCAATCGCCCATTTATCGCCGATAGGAGCATGATAGGCACACCCCGCACAGGAGCGTGCGGATTCGATATCGGTGGCCGATCGCCGATGTATCGGCAATATGTCGCCGATTCCAGGTCGATGTTTCCTCCTCCCTGAGCTGCCCCCCCCCCCAAAACGTTGCCCCTCAGGGAGGAGGGAGATGTTTTGCTCGGTGTGCGAGTCATGCTGTGGTGAGTATTGGTCTCGCGGGATTGCCCGCAGCATGCACGCAATGGAGCACAAGGCCCACGGTGTGGTTCGGCGAACCGTGGACGTGCCCAAAACAGCCTTGGTGGAGCAGGGAGCAGGCAGGATGTACAGGAGGAAGCGGGAGCGAGGGAGGACAGCCGCGATCGTCCCCGGCACTGCCGTCAGGCAGAACATGATGAGGTCCCCGAATTTCGCATCCCTTGGCAGCGCCCCAAAGGGCTGAGGCCTGAAGCGGCACAGGGCGGTACCCGTCTGCGGATCACGTGCCTCCCAGAGTATGCTCAAGCGGAAGGCTCTGGCGCTCTGGCGGAGCACAAGGCCTGGTCAAACCGACTGTGCTCGATTGGGGTTCAGAAACGCAGGCTGGGAAGGGGAGGAGGAGGAGGAGGAGGAGGAGGAGGAGGAGGAGGTGGAGGCGGAGGAGCGCCCCCTTCCCCTCCATCTGGCTGGATGTTCTCCGCCTCGTCCCTCGTCCTCTTTTCTCCGTCCTCCCCAGCTCTGCCCCCTGCCCGCATCGTGTGGGGCGGGGGGGAAAGCCACGAGGACGTGGCCGAGGATGTGGAGGAGGGCCCGAGCAAGCCCAGCGCGCGCCACTTATGCAGCAGTGCACCCTTCCCAGGCCCCCTGCTCATAAGTTGAGGCCGCCCGTTGGACAGAATTCTGCCCCGTCTACTGGAACATGCCTGGGGCGAAACCACCGCCCGCTCCAGAATACAACGATGTCTTTGGAATCGCCACGACTGCCTAGGAGCAAGGATCCGTTTGTAGATTGGTGCGAACAGGACGCCTCATGGAATTGGATGCCCCCACTCATTGGCGCGGAGCGCCTAATGTCCCACAAGAATGGAGATCGGCCCACCTACACGTTGTCCGGGGTTAATCTGCAAATGGACCGCTTAATCCCCGTAATCCCCCTCAACACTTCTCGGCCTCGTTCTCCATGTGTTCCTCGTCCCCTCCGCCACCTCCTGATATCGCGTATGCCTTCTATTCCTCCTCTTCCTCTTCGACCCCCTGCTCACGTTCTCTCTTCCACCCCTCGCGCCGAGGAGATGAAGGAACATGGAGCACCAAACTTCTGCTTGTCGTCTGTTTTGCCCCACTAGATGTTCCAAGATAGCGTTCAAGACGTCCCTGGGAGCCCCCACGATGGCTGCAGACTGCTGCTGACGATGGCATTCCGATGCCCCAGTATGCTACCAACGTCACCCAAGATGGTCCAATAAGGCTTCAAGTCGGCCCAAGATGCCAGCTAGATTTCAACATGGCCCTTAAAGGTTACCCGTAGCCATGTGTTGGCTCAAGCATGTTGACTCAAGGCGTCTTGGATCAAGCAGGGGCTGCTTCAGAGAAGCGGAGACAACAGCTGCGTGCCAGTGTATTAGGCCCCAGAAATCCCTTCCTCGCCTCCAGGGGTAGCAGACTGCATGCGCCTCGCCACCTGCCTTGAGGTCAGTATCGCTGTTGCGGCTGCTTCTCATGGTTACGACGCCGAAGAGGCACGTAAGTTTGCTTCGCTTGCATCTGTGCCGTATTGCGAAGTCCTGGATGCGGTGTTGACTTGGACATGCGCAGCATGCAGTGATGCCAATACGCCATTAGTTCCAGGCCAGATAAAGATAGTTGACGGTGGCAAGAAGAATGCCACACGTATTTTGATAGGGAAGTTGGCATATCAAAACGGGTGCCTCATGTCTTTCCGAGGCAGCGACAATTTCGAAAATTGGATCAATGATTTCGAGTTTTGGGATATCAGGCCGAAAGATTTTGATGATTGCGACGGTTGTCGAGTGCACAGTGGATTTTACAATATTTGGAAGAGCGTGCGTCGTCTCGCATTGGACGCGCTCCGCGAAGTAGGGTGTGTCTCGCAGGGTAAAGACAACGTGCTGTACATCACTGGCCACTCGTTGGGTGCTGCCCTGACGCACTTAGCAATGTTTACTCTCCACAGTGCAGGCTACCGCATAGCAAAAACCTACAGCTACGAAGCCCCACGCATTGGCAACACAGCTTTTTCTGCTGCGTTTTCTTCGCGCTTCTCGCGGGGATCCCCAGTGTTCCGCATCACGCACGGCATGGATCCAGTTCCCCATGTGCCGCCAATGTTTCTGGGTTACGAGCACGTGCAGACCGAAGTGTGGTACGATTCAGCGGGCAACTACACAGTCTGCGATGGGGCAGAGGACAGAGCGTGCGCTGATAGGTACTGGAACACCGCGAGCTTGGTTCTCTTCCACAGTGGTGACCACTGCGGCTCCAGTTTGCTGCCGAGTGGGGACATCTGTAATCCCGTCGGCTGCTCGAAAGGCGTCCTCCCTCCGTCGTCGTCGTCGTCGTCGTCGTCGTCGTCGTCGTCGTCGTCGTCGTCGAAGCTCGAGCCAGGGCAGGCAGCGGCCCTGGTGGTGTGAGAGCACGGCGGGAGCGCGGCCTCGCCGCTCCCCCGAATTACGTCGAGCTCAGCGCAGAGCTGCTCATCCTTCTCTTCAACGTGTGATGCTCTACGGTAGGTTCGCGTCGTGTCGATTGGCGGCGACCCCGCCGCCGGCTTTCAACGTTGAATGCCCGCGGCGACCCAGAATCCGTCTATGTTGAACGATCTGACGTTTCGGAAACGGCCGATCCTTCAGGGTTGAATGATGCCCGCGGTGTCAGCAACCAATGCCATGGCCAGCACGACAGGAGCCCGCGGTAGCCTTTGCTGGGGCAGATGCCGTAAACGGGCTCGCGGTGCGCTTCGTAACGGCGTGGTCGTTGTCGGTAGTATAGGTGGGAGTGGTTTGCGGCCAAACCATCGTTAGGAGAGTGTGGCTCGCGCTGTCCTGCCATTTGTTGCGTCGCTTTCGCTAAATGCATTCGCAAATTTGAAATGTAGTGTAGGAAAGTGTGGCTCGTGCTTGCCTGCCTCTCTCTCTCTATATATATATATAGATGGAGAGAGAGATGTTTCTGCGCGCGTTGAGTGCCGCAGACACCAGATTCCACATCGCACCGTAAACTGGCCACACCCTTCGCCCAGATTTGGAGATGAGCTGCCGTCTGGATGGAGCTTCGTTCCAGGCGCTGCGAATCTGAAGAACTCCATCGACCATCAGTGTTCAGCTAGGTCTGCGCTAGGGGTGAAGCAATCACTTTGCCTCCAGCATCCCGCTCGTCCCTGCCGCCCCCAGCGCAGTTGCCCGCTCTCCGTGCCAAGGGTCAACGAGCACGGCGGCCTTTGAACGCTGGCCTGCGCATTTTTCCTGGCCTGGCTCGGACTTCCCCACGTCTTGCTTTGGAGAAGCTCTGCTGTCCATGGGGGGGGACAAGAAAAAACCCTCATAGGCCCCAATGTAGCCCGAGGATGCGCAAGATGGCCCCAAACTGCCCCCTACAGGCTCCAAGATGCCGCCAGTAGGCTTTCATATTATGGTGCGTAGCAAAACCCGAGAAAGCCCCAAGGTGGTGCCGAGATAGTCCAAAGATCTTCCCGCTAAAAGGTCTTCCCGTCAGGAGGACCGGCGGCAGAGGGTGTAACCTTCTCAAATCTGGCCGTTTCCGCTTGCGGGTGGAGGACGGCCCGAAAGAGCACCGATGCGGTCCACGAAGGCCCGACCGCGGTCCAACACAGTCTCAAGACGACTCAAAAGATTTCCAAGACGTTCAAGAAGCTTCCCAGAGGACGCCCAAGAGTGATCCGAGATTGCAAAACGATTGACTTCGGCTTTTGATTCATTTTAG